AATATTACATGTTAATAACTTGATTGGAATTATAACCTTGAATTGACAGTTTGATACTTTGAAAATTTTGAGCCAGCCCTACCCCCAAGGGCTGTAGGGTGGGGCTCAAAGGAGTCAGTGTGCTAAAATTTCTTCATTTTCCTTGTTAAGAATCAGAGGTGCTAGTTTCAAATCCTTTTTAGTCTGAAATCTGTATGCTAGATATTGAGTAAGGTGGTTTTATTGTTTTTTGTCACTTTGAATAATATTTCTGTTCATGTTAAAAACAAAATCAACTCTCTGTATAAATATATCAGGTGACCGTTAAGGCCCATGGGCCTCTTGTTTAATTGATGTTAATGCTATGAATTAAAACATCACAGAGAGTAATTTCAACTTGTTCTAACTCCCTAAAACGGCATGCAAGCAATACCATTTGTTTGTATGAATGTAGGGGAAATTACATAGATTTATCAGGAACACAAGTTAAAGTTTCATTGTATAGAGTAGAAAAGTGGTGGGACTCTCTACCTTATTGAATACCATCTAATGGAAGGAATGTAATGAATATTGAAGTATTGAACATAACTCTTATTGAAAACAACATGTAATAATCACATATTTTTCTGTATATAAACCAATAAAATATGATATTGCATGAGGGGTGTGTGTGGATGTTGTAGGTGCCATGTGTGAACTTCTGTGGTCAGACCCGCAGACTGTCTGTGGCCGCAGTGAAAGCAAACGAGGGGTGGGCACCATGTTTGGACCTGATATCACCAAAGCCTTCTTACAACGCAATAAACTTGATTACATTGTGAGGAGTCACGAGGTGAAACAGGAGGGATATGAGGTGGCTCACGACGGCAAGTGTATAACCGTGTTCTCCGCCCCGAACTACTGGTAGGTGTTTGGAGGTGACCCCTAAATGAACTGTATTGGTTGGTTTGGAGGTCTTTTGTATGACTATAGTTTGTTTATGTTAAAAATATATATCAGTTGTAAAATATTCAGTTCCAGTCGATTATTTATTTCAATTATTTTTCTATGGATGACATTTTCCTCAAACTTCAGTAAACACTTCTTAGAGGAGGTTTATATGGACTGTGCCTGTGGTATGATCCCTTAAATATAGACCCATTGGTATGGTAAGCTGCCTTTAACATTTCATCAGTAGATACACCAGCAGTCTTTGTGTTTAATGTGTTGTAAGATAAACTAACAGTTCTCTGTCTCACATTTCCAGTGATACTATGGGCAACAAAGGTGCATTCATCAACATCAGAGGGGATGATTTGACGCCCAAATTTACGTCCTTCAGTGCAGTGGTAAGTTTCAGAAACATTCAAATCAAAAGTCAAAGATTATGAAATCAAAAATGTTCTAATTGTATAATGAGAAGTTTTCATGTCAATTTTTGCAAAATATTTTTATTTTTTTCTGAAGAATTATCATTGTAATTTAATTCAAAACCTTCTATTTTTACAGCCACATCCCAACGTCAAGCCTATGGCCTATGCAAGCTCCTTGTTCAATATGTTTGGATGATGGACCAATCACTTAGTGACTTATTAATGAAGTGTGTAAATCTGAGGATGACAACTGTGTGGGAGAGAGTGAGTCATGGTTACTACAGATCAAGGACTGTCAAGTTCCTGGAAGATTTGGGCAGTAACAGAGGAGGTTGGGCACTTACCCTTGAATGTAAGGGCAGTAACAGAATTTGGTGGGGGAAGGGGGGCACTTACCCATGGAAGGTTAGGACAGTAAACAGGGGGGGGGGGGGCACTTACCCTGGAGGGTTGGGGCAGTAACAGAAGAGGATGGGGGAATGGGGGCATTTACCCTTGAATGTTAGGACAGTAACAGATGTGGGCACTAACCCTAGAGTGTTAGGACAGAAACAGATAGGGGCACTAACCCTAGAGTGTTAGGACAGAAACAGATAGGGGCACTAACCCTAGAGTGTTAGGACAGTAACAGATTGGGGCACAAACCCTAGAGTGTTAGGACAGAAACAGATAGGGGCACTAACCATAGAGTGTTAGGACAGTAACAGATGGGGGCACTAACCCTAGAGTGTTAGGACAGTAACAGATAGAGAGGGACACACTGATCCTGAAGGATTAGGCAGCAACAGAAGATGGAAAGGAGGGACGTCCCGATGTGTGTCAGTGTCTTGATTCTCTAGGTAAACATTGGTGACTTATCCCCAAGTGTGTAAGTCTTGATGCTCTGGTAAAGCATTTGCACCGACTTTTGGCAAGGTGTGTCAGTGTCTGTACATTGGTATATTGTGTGTTGTTGCCTGTAGGAATACTTGTAATCTTTACCCATCAATATACATGTACGGATTTTGTAGTTTAAGCAATGACAGTAAACAGTAACTGTGACTTTTTGAAGAATACTGGTAGATTTAAGAGTAAAAATGGAAATGGGAAGACTTGACCTGCCTTTCTGAATCAATCAAGGCTTGCTGTATTTAGATGCATAGAGTGTTAAGCTGCCTGCCTCCTCTGTTACTTCCACGTCTAGGAACAGCCCAATTGTTGGACCATAGTGAGTTGTCAGAACTGTTGTTACGTACCGCAATATTACTCATTACGATTAGCGCTCGGTGAAAGTGCTACCATTAGCTCAATCATGTATGCATGGTATGATATTATGTAGAAACTTTGAATGACATGTAAGTTATTCTTGACTCTTAATACATGTGTTCTACCAGTAACTAGCCTTGTACATGAACCAGTACCATTAATATTTACTACAGAAATATGTGTGCGCTACCAATCACTAATCGTTCATGAGACAGTATCATTGATATTTACTAGAGAGTTACACATTTACTGCCAGTCACTGGCATTGTACAGTTAATGGAAATATTGATATTCACTGCAAAATAACATTTGAAGCAAGGACGCATGTAATGAATCAACTTGGACAAGTTACCTCAAGTTCATTAGTTCATAAAGCAGTTGAACATGGATTCCTTGTATTGATATGTAATTAAGATTCCCACTAATTAGTATATTGTCACTGGGTTTTTATCCTGTCACAAAAAAAGTACTTAGTAGTCAAGTCACATGGAACACAGTGATAAACATGTTTGGATATACATGCAATTCCTTGTAAACACAGAATATAACAGTAGTAAAACTCAGATATTTGTGAAAAGGTTAAATGTTCAGCTGAATATAGTTCATTTAAAAGTTATCAATATACTGAAATAAAATTCAAACAGGTTCCAAATGTAAAATGATATAAACGTCATGAGCTTTCTCCCCTTTTCATTCTTAAATCTCCTTTTAACCATTCAAAAATATTTTTGTATTGTCTTTTTACACGGATTACAGTATGTTTTTGCTACATTCTGTGATAAATGAAAAATCAAATATCATAAAAGCATGCATATTAGTTTCACCCTTCAGACAGTAAATCTCCTTCACTTTTATTGCTGTTTCAAGGATTCGTTAGTAAATCAGGATTAGCAGGTGTAATATACACAGCAGGTTGATGGCTTTAATGTGTAGGAGAGCATTATTTTAAATGTCAGTGTAATTGTCAAATATTAGGAAATTATGATGATTTTAATCACTATGTATGAAAGTAAAGTTGATCTGTGTGTAAAAGAATGAATATTTTTATTTTTAGTGTTGGTTAAGACACATTTACCCAGGTACTTCCATCTTGTTGATTTATACCTTTAATATTTTTTTTACTCTGAATATACTTAATTCAAGGTTCCTCGTACCACTTTAAGTAACTAACTATGCACTGGAATTGTTTTTTTATTTCTGGCATGACTAGACCTTTATGAACAAATTTCTGAAAAGAAACCGAAGTCCAGTGACACATTCTCTAGACATTTTTGGAATTGATAAGTCATGATTCTTTATCTGTTTTTCTTGTATTTCACCTGTAAAATTTTGTACAAATGTATATGTAAAGAAAAGTAGATGTTGCTGACATCCTTTTTTCACGAAAAATTAATAACGGTGAACTAAACAAACAAATAATCATTGTGGAAAAAAAATCAATGTAAAAAATGTCAATGGTGCCAGACCAGGATGGCCAGTTCTTACTAGGCCCACGGATATAAATTAAAGGGAAGTTACTCTATGTACAAACAACTACAGTGGAAATCTTCTGTGTTTTGCCTGCAGTTGGACTGATCATTTATAGTACCAATCAGTGGTGCAGTATATGGGAGTGATCTAAGGATGTAAGTGATGGTAGATGACAGTCTGTTACCTATATTTGTTCTGTCTTTATTCAACTAGTTTAGTAATCTGTGGTAACATGTTGAACTGGTACAATCAGGTACATGCCAGTCTGTATTTCATCTTTGATAAACATGTCCTCTATAATCAACTCATCCTCTAGTGAAACAGATGTTACTTAAGTCTGCTAATGACGAGGAATGCTGGACTACAGATAGGGTGGGGGAAACGGGAAACATGATCCTGTTGATACCAATGTCCATACATATGATGATTACAGGTTTGTCTCAAAGATTGTTTGCTGTGTTTCTGTCACTTGGGTCACAAATTGAATCACCTTTTTTTCTTTGTATTGTTCTTTTAAAATCAGAGATGACAAGCCGGTTTGGTGAAATAATTTGATATAGATAGCCAAGCTGCGTATAGACCTGGCTATAAGGAGTTTAGTGTTATTGGTGACATCTAACTAGAGTGCAGCAGTTATTTTGGATGCCAGATACTCATTACTAACCATTGAACCAGGTCTCAAACAGAGTATGAAAGAATTTTGTGAAATTAATATTTATATGTATTAAATATAATATAAAATATGCTGGGTATTTTTTAGTATCATTTACTCACAGTTGCGAGTTATTTAATAGACATTTTTGACATTAATGGCACAAGATCATGTTTTGCCTCAAGAAACAGTGCCCAATACTTGAGACATACATCATTATTACAAGATTAATCCATAGTGCCCCATATTTTAAAATATGTATCATAAGATATGTTGTGCTACATACTTGAGACATATCACCACAAGATGGTTTGCTACATACTTGAGACATATATCACCACAAGATAGTTTGTTACATACTTGAGACATATTTCATGAGACGATGTACCACATACTTGAGACATATGAGACGATGTACCAAATACTTGAGACATATCATAAGATGATGTACCACATACTTGAGACTTATATCACGAGACGATGTACCACATACTTTAGACATATCATGAGATGATGTACCAAATACTTGAGACATATATTATGAGATGATGTACAACATACTTGAGACATATGCCATGAGATAATGTACCACATACTTGAGACATATATCATGAGATGATGTACCACATACTTGAGACATTTATCATGAGATGATGTACCACAAACTTGAAACATTTAGCATGAGATGATGTACCACATACTTGAGACATATACCATAAGATGATGTACCACATACTTGAGACATATCATGAGATGATATACCACATACTTGAGACATATCATGAGATTATATACCACATACTTGAGACATATATCATGAGATTATATACCACATACTTGAGACATATATCATGAGATGATGTACCACATACTTGAGACATATCATGAGATGATATACCACATACTTGAGACATATATCATGAGATGATATACCACATACTTGAGACATATCATGAGATGATATACCACATACTTGAGACATATATCATGAGATGGTGTACCACATACTTGAGACATATCATGAGATGATATACCACATACTTGAGACATATATCATGAGATGATATACCACATACTTGAGACATATTATGAGATGATATACCACATACTTGAGACATATATCATGAGATGGTGTACCACATACTTGAGACATATGCCATGGGATCATGTACCACATACTTGAAGCATATATCATAAGATGATGTACCACACACTGGAGACACAAGTATCATCATAAGATGGTGTGCAACATATTTTAGGCATATACATTTCATGGAAGCTTTTAGACAGTTATAAGTGTTAAAGTTTACAAAAGTGACCAGATACAGGAATATATGATGTAAGTGAATCACTAGGATGAGAGCACTTGGTGTTGATTTGTCATGTGGTGCTGAGCGATATTCTAGGTAATAGGTTAACAACTTGACATGATCTTGAACATCTTTTATTTAAGCATTATTTTCCTATCTATTGTTAGCTCACCTGGTCCGAAGGGCCATGGAGGTGAGCGTGTGCCATACCATGACGTCCGTCGTCATCAACTTCTTCAAAAAACTTCTTCATAACCTTTACAACTAAAAAGGTATACAAGTTACGTTTATAGATCATGTGAATAACATAAAGGACAGGAAACTAAACATGAGGTACATAAAAATATTGTTTCACCACGGCTATTTAATATCCGTACAGGACAGTGTCCCAATCATTAGTACAGTTTATAGATATATATTGTTTCACCACCACCATTGACAATAGGGCCGTAACATCTTGTTTCACCACCACCATTGACAATAGGGCCGTAACATCTTGTTTCAACACCACTATTGACAATAGGACCGTAACATCTTGTTTCACCACCACCATTGACAATAGGGCCGTAACATCTTGTTTCACCACCACTATTGACAATAGG